CCAGAGGGTCATCAGATTGTGGAATGCCTTCTAGAATTGCCACTGAAAACTGGAGAGGGCTCCTGTCTTTAAAGCCCCTTCCACACTGCCCCTATATCCCAGGATCTGATCACAGATTATTTGTTTATCCCAGGTTATCTGGCAGTGGAGACTCATATAACCCAGTTAAAAGCAGATAATCTGGGATCAGGTCCTGGGATCTAAGGGCCCTTCTACACAGCCATATAACCCAGAATATCAAAACACATAACCCACAATATCTGCTTTGAACTGGGGGTCCTTCTAGACAGGCCCTATATCTCAGGATCTGATCCCAGGCTTTCTGTTTCTCTCAGGTTATCTGACATTGATGACTCATATAATCCAGTTTAAAGCAGAAAACCTGGGACCAGACCCTGGGATATAGGGCCTGTCTGGAAGGACCCTGGATTATCCGAGTCCGCACTGCCATATAATTCAGTTCAATGTGGATTTTATACAGCTGTGTGGAAAAGAGAGAATTTCAGCAGGTACATCACATCACATCACACACATCACATCACACAACCAGGTAACAAGCAACGCTTGCTGAAATTCTGTCTTCCAGTCAACTCTTAAATACGGCACTGGTAGTTTTTTACTCTAGCAACTCTACAGCCTTCCATGTAGGCTTTTTGGGAAAACATGTGCAAATTATCAAAACTTTTTGCTTATGTTACCCCCCACCCCTTTCAAAAGACTGTAATTGACTCATTTGTGACAAGTATTGGGGCTAATGAAACTTATAATATAATGCTTTCCAGTGCTTGAAAAAGCAAAGAGGAGAGAAGATTGGGGCGTGGGGGGAAGACCCAGGAAGCATGGAAAGGGTTAAGGCTGCTGTGATCAAGTTTGCAGGTGAAGTTACTTGTGCATGCTTTCAAGGTCTGCTTCTGGAAGTGTTTTGTTGCCCTTATTCCTTGTAAATGAATATCTCACAGCTCATGGTTCGATCTTGCTCATTAGTATTTCTTCTTTGACAGTGGAAGGTTGATATCGTTAGCAAGGGCTATCTGGAACTGTAAATGAGAATTGGCTCCTGGTAAAAACTAGGAAAAAAGGAATAAACTGTAGACATAATTTGACTGTGCTACCGGTACTCTGTTTCCCAAAAAACAAGACAGTGTCTTATATTAATTTTTGCTCCCAAAGATGCACTAGGTCTTATTTTCAGGAGCTGTCTTATTTTTTCCATGAAGAAAAATTCACATTTATTGTTGAACAACAAAAAAGAACATTTATTGTATACTGCACAGTAGTTGTAAGTATATAATAAATATACTGACCCTCACACATAGGGCCACAAAAAATAAGGGCTGTAAAGTACTTGGCTCCTACACACTGTCTGGAGATTGTCACAATCTCCTACAGTAGTTCCCCTACCACTGGTACAGCAGGGATTGTATTGCAGCTTCTGTCCACCAGGGGGAGCATGCTTCCAAACAAAAACTTTACTAGGACTTATGTTTGGGGGAGGCCTTATATTTAGCAACTAGCTGTACCTGCCACGTGTTGCTGTGGCCAACCTTCCTCTTTCTCTCCTTTCTTTCTCTCCTTCCTTCCCCCCTTTCCCCCCTTCTCTTCCTCTTCCCTTCCTTCCTCCCTTTTCTTTCCCTTCCTGTTTCTCCCCTTTCTACCTCTTCTACCTATTCTTGGACTGCAACTCCTAGCAGTCCTCCTGATTAATATTTCTACCTATCTCCATCTAATCTATCTGTCTGGAAGATTGCTGGGAGTTGCAGTCCAGGAATAGGACACTGGAAATATGCAGGGATTGGGGTGCTCTCAAAGAAATCCAAGGAGAAGCAAGCTTGGATCATCCTCCTCTCCTAAAGGGCCTGGTCTAGGGGATGCTGGGAGCTGTAGTTCAGAAGAGAGTGTGAATATGCTATTGTGTGTTTCATTTGCTGGGGGAGTTGTTTTTGTACATGCGTTGAGATATATATGTGTGTGTGTGTGTGTGTGTGTGTGTGTGTGTGTGTGGCTTTTTAAGTCCCTTCCATTGTGTTTTTCAGTGTTTTTATGAGTGATGGTCACTCATTGGCCTGATAGGTATATTGTGTCCAAATTTGGTGTCAATTCGTCCAGTGGTTTTTGAGTTATGTTAATCCCACAGACGAACATTACATTTTTATTTATATAGATTCAGCAAAACCTCTACTAGGTCTTGTTTTCAGGGGAGGTCTTATTTTCAGAGAAACAGGGTAAGAATATGAATGTTGGCCTTCTCAGGTGTAGTATCCAAACTTTGAAATCTCTCCTGTCATTGCGCTTTAGGACATCAGTTATGACATCTTTAGTGTCTGTGTTTGTACTCATACTTACCCCATGAATTTCATTGGGATTTTTTAATGCAAGAAATACTTAAAGGCAGTTTTCCTTCTTCAGAAATACAGCTTGCACACCTGGTGTTCTTTGGTGGCCTCTCATCCAAGTACTAACTAGGTTTGACCTTGCTTAGCTTCCAAGAGTAGCTTAGTTATGGTGCCTTTAGGATACTTAGGACTTTTAATCTGCATTTGCCTCCCACTTTTCCTGACAGAATTTCTTTTCCTGAGGTCTTAAGGGTTGAATTGCTTTCTTCTACTTTATATTTAAATTGACTATTTCATTTTCAATCTGGAAGGGACTGAAAGGTGTGGAGACTGTTTCCTGAATTAATACCAATCATAATTTCAGACTGAGGTTAAAAGGGGTAATGGCCTGCAAACCTTTTACTCATTTGTTTCTTCTTTTGTGGAGATAAAAGATAATGGACATCTATTTTATTATGACCCGTTGAATACAGGACTTTAGCCAATAGGCTTTCCGTCACACATTTTATACAGAATCCAAAGTCATTGAATAATTCATTTCTTTAAAAGCTTTGACCTATGTTATAAAGATCTTAATCTCAAGGCACTCCTAGTTTCCCTTTTTTTGTTATCCTCCAAACTAAGTCATACTTGGTTCGCTTCCAAGGAACTTCCTGCAAATGATTTATAAGCATACCAAATACTTGTAAAGCAGAAAATGATAATATTCTTGCATAATATCTAGAAATATATTATTTTGCTCAAATAGCACAAAGAACTTAATTGAAACTATTTGTTTCCTGCTTGATGCACACATTTCTGCAATTTAAATCACTTTTTCATAGACTAAATCATGATAATTGAGCCATAAGTCTACAGTTGTCTTCTATAATTAATATTGTCCAACTCTAAACATTTTGTTATCTTAGTGCTTGTAGCTAGCTTTCATGAGAATGAGAGGACCTCGTCTATATGTATGTATATGTATACTACTGTATATTTGTTTTACAAAAAGTTAGAAACATACTATGAAGATGAAAACCATGTGAAACTAGGGATTTTACTAGTATTTATGCTTAATGTATTGTCGAAGGCTTTCATGGCTGGAATCACTAGGTTCTTGTGGGTTTTTTCGGGCTATATGGCCATGTTCTAGAGGCATTTCTCCTGACGTTTCGCCTGCATCTATGGCAAGCATCCTCAGAGGATGCTTGCCATAGATGCAGGCGAAACGTCAGGAGAAATGCCTCTAGAACATGGCCATATAGCCCGAAAAAACCCACAAGAACCTATTTATGCTTATCTGTTAGCATTATAGTTGGATGTCTTGAGGGATTTGTGTGTGTGTGTGTGGCAAATCCAAAAGTCCATTCCTTCAAGAAATGATGACGTCATAATTGAGTTATAAGCGAAGACGATCAATATAAGCATCACTTCTGGGTATCTTTCATAAAGGAAAAGGATGTCCAAGCAACCCTTTTACATTTTGACTAAATACTTTGGAGTGTCCTTTTTCCTTTTGTTTGTAATGACAAATGATAGGAAGGTGATGTCTTAGAGACAGTTGAAACATCATTCAATTCCCTAGATACCCTGTATGACATTACAGGAGATGAGAGGCTAGGTCTCAAGTTCTGTGTTTTGTAGCAGTAATGCAACTTCTGCATCCCAGGAGATACACACTTGAATTTTGCATGGATACCCGAAATGATCGATAATAGCAAAAACCTAATTAAAGGAAGGTCATCCAGCCCAAGCATACTTTAGAGTTACACTGGAGGACCTAGAAAATGCCTAGAGAGGTGACATTTGATCAAATGTGGATAAATGAAACCACATGTACCAGTCCTACAGATCAAACTACAGGAAAGAAGATTCCACCTGAACATGAGGAAGAACTACCTAGCTGTGAGAGCTGTTCAACAGTGGAACTCTCTGCCTCAGAGTGTGATAGAGGCTTTTAAATATGGATGGCCATCTGTCAGGGGTGCTTTGAATGCGATTGTTCTGCTTCTTGGCAGGGGGTTGGACTGGATGGCCTACAAGGTCTCTTCCAACTCTATTTTTCTATGATTCTATGATTCTAATGCTATCTGATTTGGTTATTCTGCTTTTTTTTTTTTTGTCATGTCGGGAGCGACTTGAGAAACTGCAAGTTGCTTCTGGTGTGAGAGAATTGGCCGTCTGCAAGGATGTTGCCCAGGGGTTGCCCGGATGTTTTGATGTTTTATCATCCTTGTGGGATGCTTCTCTCATGTCCCCGCATGAGGAGCTGGAGCTGGAGCTGGAGTTGATAGAGGGAGCTCATCCGCTCTCTCCCCGAATTCAGACCCGTGACCTGTTCTGCCAGCACAGTGGTTTAACCCACTGCACCACTGAGGGCTCCGGGTTATTCTTCTGTCATATCCTAAATTGCTACCTAATTGCTTCAATGATGGTTACAGATAGGCACTGAGGCTTAAATGGTGTAGCTGTCTAATGAATTCATGCATGCAATTGAAATTAATTCTATTTTGCCAACTTCAGAGCTCAGTGCTCTCTCTCCATTTGATTTCAGGGTTAGCATATAATTTTACATTCCCAAATTTACTGTTTGATGGTATGATTTAGAAAGCAAAGTCAACTCTTTTTCACCAAAACAGAAAATGTGCAAGCAGTTACTTACGGATAATTTATTTCTTCCAACAGCTGGTCACATACCGCAGAATACATGTTTGACATTTCCTTTATTTCAAACTTCAGTCAAGGTAAGTGAGCCAATTTTTCAAGAGGATAACCTGAGACACTTTGGTTCTTTGTATAAGTTAAAGTGCTGGCATTTGAAATTTAGGTATCTATTAAATTTGGCATGTTTTAGCTTTTAACGTAATGTGATTTGGAGATGCTGCCTGACATAAAGCAGTACCAGGCATATTCCCTCTACCTTCCATATCCCATCAAGTCTCTTGCCAAATTATCATGGTTTCTGAAGAATTAAATCCCATGAACATTTGTCCCACTCCTTGATGGAAAAATGCCACAATAATGCAATAATGAACAATTTGTTGCCCTTTTACGCCCATCCATCCTTTGATGATTCTATCACTCTGCCTAATGGTAAAACAGCCCAAAAATATCCATAGCTTCATTGAATCTCCCTCATTCTCTCCTTAACACATTGCTGAAAAAGAGGATGTGAAACACTAAAATCACCATGTTGAGTTTGGGGAAGATGTAAAGAATCCTCCCCAAACACAACATGGTGGTTTTAGTGTTTGAATATGCTGATTCATTTACAAAGATGCCTCTTGAGAAAGACATTCAATGTGTCTTAGCAGAAATGGTATCACAGTGAGCCAGGTCCAAGTCTTGTCAATCAGGAAAGAAAGGTTGGGGGGAGGGGGCTTTTCATAATGACATTGTGTTAATTACTTGTAAAATGTGGATGCACAAAGTGTAAGAACTTCACCACAAATGGCCCCTTGGGTTTATCAACATTATAAAGCACTATGGTGTTATGAATGGTGATGTATGCTAATTATTTTTGTTAGCTTCCATAAAAGAGAGAATGGGTCATTCACCATATGAAACCACCATTTTTAGATTTGAGTATTCCAAAAGATTCAACTTGATTTTTCTTTGCTCCTTTGTTGGACATTCAGTGATGACAAATAAGTTTATTCCTCTTCTTGACTTGCTAGTATATAGGGTTTATTTGAAACACCATAATCCTTGACTGCCGTTCTAAGGGGCATAGCAGGATTTAACTATCTGCTTGTCTGCTCTGATCGCAGTATAATTAAGATACACTGGACCCTCTTATATATAATGGTGTAGTAAAATTATATCCCTTACATAACATGGCAAAATCAAGGTTTACTTTTGGAATTACTATTGTTATTATTATTATTATTTAAAGCTATGGATGGTGGAAATCTGTGGATATGGAGAACCAACTGGACACATTTTTCAAGTGCGTGAGGACACAATAAAAGTATCATGAACAGAAATTGGGAAGCATATTGTATTGAATGCTGAATGGTATGATAACTATCAGTATGATTTAGGGGCATGGGTTGTTGGCTGGCTTTAAACATGGTTGTTACTGGATTGCTGTAAGTTTTCTGGGCTCTATGGCCATGTTCCAGAAACATTCTCCTGGTGTTTTGTCCACATCTATGGCAGGAACCCTCAGAGGTTGTGAGGTCTGTTGGAAGCTAGGCAAGTGGGGTTTATATATCTGTGGACTCTCCAGGGTGAGAGAAAGAACTGTTTGAGGTGAGTGTGAATTGGTCAGCTTGATTAGCATTGAATAGCCTTGCAGCTTCAAAGCCTGGCTGCCTGGGGGAATCCTTTCTTGGGAGGTGTTGGGGAATCCTTTCTTGGGAGGTGTTAGGGAATAACACTCAGAAAACAGGGTAGTTCCAGACAGGAAACAATCAGGGCCAGCTAATTCTGGAACATGGCCATACAGCCCACAGCAACCCAGTGATTCCGGCCATGAAAGCTTTCGACTACAAACTGTTGTTACTGCTCATGTGAGTTTTGCTTCACTGATTTTTAAGATGTGCCTAATAGAATAAACATTGTTCCAAAAAGAGTTTATATCCATTTCATTTAGAAAATGTAGGCATTATCTAAAAGTAGCCTCACCTTACCTAATTCCTACCATCCTTAACTAGCACGAAAATGCCTCTGTTGGCTGCTGCTGATAAGGATTATTGTCCAACATATCTGGGAAACACCAAAACATTTTTTCCTGAGGCGGTAGTATTTTTGAGGCATGTCAATTTGTCACTTGCAGGGTCTTCTCTTAATAGTACTATTTTTTTTTGAAAAAACCCTAATAAATCAGGAAAAAAATCAGTTGATCAAGATCATGTTTAATCTAATAATTAATCAACATTGAAATCCTGGACACAATAGGGCTTGGTTCTATAAAGGTTTGTCTAGGATTACGGATTAAAAATTGCATTCCTAATTATCTCACTTGAGGTTCAATGAGTGTAAAAAAAAGCAATAGAAAACACACATGTGAGTTTTGTGCTTGTAATAATGCACCTGCAGTTTAAACGGAACTCTCACTGTTTTGAAAGAAGGCCACTTTAAAACAATATTTGATTAGAAACTTTCTAATACATTAGAAAAAGTATATAAAGAAAAAAATATACCTTTTTTTTTGAAGGAAGGATCACCTTTATTCCATTTGTTTCACTTGAAATTACTTTAATGTTTACTGTGATATTGGGTGCATCTACACTGCAGGATTTTGTTATTTGGGAATTGTAGTTGTGGGATTTATAAGTAACCTACAATCAGAGAGCATTCTGAACTCCAACAGCGATTCAAATGAACCAATCTTGGCACACAGAACTCCCATGATCAAAAGAAAATACTGGAAGGATTTGATGGGCATTGACCTTGAGTTTTGGAGTTGTAGTTCACCTACATCCAGAGAGCACTCAATCAGGACCAGACTTGGCACGCATACTCACTATGCTCAAATGTGAACACTAGTGGAGTTTGGGAAAATAGAACTTGACATTTGGGAGTTGTAGTTGTTGGGGTTTATAGTTCACTTACAATCAAACAGAAAATACCAGAGGGATTTGGGATGAATTGACAGATTTAGGGGAGACTTAGTTGACCTACATCCATAACGTAAACAACTGTACACTGTGAACCTAAATGACTATGTCAAAGGGGTTCCTAAGCCATCAGAAATTTGTGTTTTTGATGGTCTTTGGCGACCCCTCTGAAACCCCTCACGACCCCCCCCCCAGGGATCACAACCCACAGGTAGAGAAACACTACTTTAGAGACTCATGTAACTGCCAAGGATAAGTCTACTTGAATGTGGAAGAAAAGGCATCTGTTTGTATTAAAGTTGCTCTAACCATCTTTCTACAGTGGAGAAGCAAATTGCTGTGTTAAAGCATCCTCAGTCCTGGGTGGCCTAAAAAGGCAGTCAAATTTTATTTTAGTAATGCATTTCTTCTGGTTATGCAAAATCTTGCATGATAAAACAGTGGCATTTAGAAATTGTGGGATGCTAATGGAAGAGTATCATGTTGTAACGAGGATGCATAATTTATCCCATCTCAGAATACTTATGTCTTCAGTTCTCAGCATGTAGTTTACAGTATCTGTAAGAGTTTAAACAATGCTGGAAATAAGCCCAAGCTTGTGCTTGGGGAAATATTTGTGGTGCAATTCATTAATTTAAGACTCCTAAAGATGTATCTAATTACCCTCTTAAGCCACTTATTCTGTGTTTAACTAACAACTGGTTATTATGCTGTTTGCTTAAGGCTATCAACACTGGCATTGTACGAATTTGTTTCTTACTGTTTAGACCTCATGAAATACATTGCAAATGTTCCACTATTATTGTATTAGCATAAACGCAGCGGTCTTAATTAATCCAAATGAATGCACACTGAAGGAGGTTGCTTTTGCGCATGTTTTCAATTTCAGAAGAAACTTCAAAATCTCATTGAAAAAATATAGATGCATTCCCAACTCTGTGTGTGTTTGTGCGTGGTTACTGTGCAATCATTGGCATGCCCGCCTGTTGTGTAGTCATTTGCATCTTGTATGCCTTCTCTAGTACACATGTACAAAATAAACTAACGTATACTTGGTATTGCCTAGGTGTCTGAAGGGCTGTTGCCTGCATGCTTTCTCCCTTCTCCTGCTCTGAGAAGAGCTACCTCACAATGTTTCCTTAACAATGTTCTTGCAATAGTGGACAGGCTCTCTTTGTGGCTCTTTCTTTCCTCCCTCCATTTCGCTTTCCTCCCTCTGTCTTTTCCCCCCTTCCTTCCTTCCTTCCTTCCTTCCTTCCTTCCTTCCTTCCTTCCTTCCTTCCTTCCTTCCTTCCTTCCTTCCTTCCTTTCCCTCACACACCTATAATATTCTCCTTTCATTCTTTCCTTTCCTTCTTCCCACCTTTTCTTTCTTCTCTCTCCCTCTCTTCCTTCTCTTTTCCTTTCTCTTCCCTTCTCTCTTTTTTCTCCCCTGCCCTCATACATTTTCCCTTCTTTTTTCCTTCCCTCCTATTTCTTTCTTCTTTCCCCTCTCTTCCTTCTCCCTTTCTCTTCCCCTCTCTCTTTTTTCCTTCCCGGCCCTCATACATTTTCCATTCTTTTCTTTTCCTTCCCTCTTTTTTATCTTTCTTCTCTCTCCCTCTCTTCCTTATCTCGTCCTTTCTCTTCCCCTCTCTCTTTTTCCGGCCCTGCCTTCCCTCCCCCTCATAAAATTTCCCCTTTCTTTTCTTTACCATTCCTTCTTTTTCTTCCTCTTCCCCTCCTCCCTCCCTCCCTCTGACACTGAAAGAGTAACTTGCCTAAATTTACTTAGGGAATCCCTGATGGAAGGGTTCTGATCTCATAAGCTAAGCAGGGCTGGGCCTGGTTAGTAGTTAGGGAATTCATGGTGGCATTGAGTCAAAGATTACAGTGCAACTCTGTGTATATTTGCTGAGAAACAAGCCTCAGAATTCAGCGTGACTGCTTAGAAATTGCATCTACAATTGCAACTATAGTCTCCAAATCATTATCCTACACTTGATTTCTAATGGGTTAGATTGGTTGTCAATTGTTTTCCCATCCACTAAGCATTAACATTGCTGGTAGACTGTTGATATGCTTCTTGAAATAATAATTTTTATCTGGCCAAGAATCACTACACACACTAGAGAGCAACCAATGAATATCAAGTAGCCAGTTTGCAAGTCTTGTGTGTGTGTTTTACACTTACGTTAAAA